CCCCAAAACCCCAAAACCCCAAAACCCCAAAACCCCATAAATAAAGTGGCGATTGATAATAAATAGCTAAAAATAATTAAAATGTGTAAGCTTCTTGGAATTTCAGAAGAAGAAGAACCCGACTGATTGTGATACATCATCTTCGATGGAGTCATGACCTTCATATCAACACTCTTGTTCATCAGCATTACTTACATGACATACAGATTTTTCAGAGTCTTTGGGACCACACAGAAATTACAGCTCTTCTTCTTAATAATGACTGGAGTCACAATGATAGGAAAGATTATGTATTTTGCGACAGAAACTGCCTGGAGACTTAATGAATGATTGTACACTCCTGTTGTCTGTGTTGAAGATAGCATCTTCTGGCTTGCAGATACCACATTTTCTTTAGCAGTAATCGGAAATATTTTCCATTGGATTTTTGTGAGGATCAAAATAACCAAAGAGAGAGGACCAAAACAAGAACATCTCTTTAAACTGGCAGGAATTGGATTTGTAATCTCCATTTTAATAGTTATTCTGATTTATCTTGGAATAATTATCCAAGCATGTGGGTTTGGACAAGACGATACAAGAGGTTCAATGGTATTTATTCTGATATATGCGGTGCTCTTTTTATTCATATCTGGAATCTACGCAATTGCCGCTACTTCCTTCTACAAGTCATTGAAAAAGGTGAACGAAGGCCGAGCTAAAAATATGAAATCTCGGATAATATTAAGTATATTGTTCATTTCTGCTTCATTCTTAGTGAGGGGCATCATGACTCTTCTGCAGTATGGATTTAAAATCATCGAGCATATCCGAAACGATGCTATAAAGCGAGGAGAATGACTACTTATCAGTGTCTTGTTCATATCATATCTGCTCGTTGATTTAATACCTATTGCATACTTATGTTGGAGTATCAGAATGGTAGAAAATCAGAAAAACGATGAAATCTTGACCGATATACATCTATCAGTCGGATCAATTTCTAATCCTCGGCTAGAAGCCAAATTAAACCATAGCGACAGTGACAGTGACGAGAGTGAAGGTGAAGGGTTCTCTCGAATCGAAGAGGACTCCTTCGTCCCGAAACAAGTCACTATCCAGTAAAACCATTACAGAAGGGGGCTACCTTCTTGTAATTTCTAAATAGCATATAATAGTAAATCGTGAGTTGTTATTTGCGATTTGTAAATAATCTCCAAGCATGATTATCCTAAAGGGGTTTTGGGGTTTTGGGGTTTTGGGGTTTTGGGG